TGGATTGGTCTGTCTACCTGTGCCTGCCCTCAGGCTAGGTCTGAACGTCTATATACAAAATGCTAGGTGCCAGGAAGACCTCTCCTGAGTCCTGCGATGTCGCAAGGCATCCTGGCACTAGGCGCAATCAGGTAACGCCTGAAGCGCGTGTAAAACGGCAACTGTTCCAGGCGCAACAACCTCCATCACTCAGCTCATGCGGCTGCCGCCCAATGCGAATCGAATCGACATATTGGCTTGATTAAGTTATCAATTTTCTACTGACCCGACACGGCTGCTGGAGCTGGCTCATTCCGCGTTCCTCTTCAATCGATCCAAATCGGTGGGTCAAAATCCCTCCTTTGGGATTCCTCGATGTATGGTCATGTATTATCCTTAGGTATCCTTATCCACATCTACTTCCTCGTCCGCGTCCAAGTTCTATAGAGAGCCCAACATCTCGCCATCTCCCGTCTCCTCTCTCTCGCCTCTCGCCTCGCCCCTCGCCTCCCTCGTGTACCTCAACCACACTCAATCGGCTCCCTTCTGAGTTCGCCTCGACTTTCTCTCATCCCTCGGCTTCTGCTACGTGAGCTCTCATTCTCCACGTTTTCGAGTCACCTACTGCTCCTACATCAGAACTCCTGGCTCAGCTGCTCAGCTGTTCAGATTCCTGCACTGGTCTCCAGGTCAACCCCCCACCAGACCTCTGCGTTACCTGTTCACCTCACGATCTTGCGAGACACTAAACTACGTGCCGCCAGACTGTCTGAAAAGAGAACACTCTTGAGCTTGCCATTGACCGCCTCCGCTCAAGCCTCCTTTCCCGTGGTTATAAGGCTTCCAGATACCTTCCTTCAGATGATCGTACCCTATCCTTATCCCATTGTACACCAGCCGTAGGCCCGTATCTGAACCTCGTTTATCTTGGAAAAACAAACCTGGTAGGTGCTCATTTCACGGGGTTCAGACTGCCTCGCCTCTCTTCACTGGCAATCTTGTCGTCGTTCGGAGCACGATCTCGTGATACTTCACCCGTGCCTTGCCCCCTTCAAGTTTTGACCATTACTCAGCGGCCGCTACCATCAGTTGCACGGAGTTCGCGAGGTTGGTCGTGGACTGGTCGCGTGGTCAGGTTCACTCACAATCACCTTTTCAGCTGATGTTGTCCTCGTTTGCCTTTCGATCATCCTGTCGCAAACGCAGTCGCTTAGCTTTCTCTAGCATCTTGACTGACGAAACGCGTCTAGTCCCTCCACAATGGCATCACCAGGCTCTGCCTCTTTCCACACTCTCGAATCTCGGCAGCAGGGCCAAGCCCGCTTCCATGTCGACGGTCAGACGCCCATTGAAAGCCATATTGTCCCTCATCGCCTCTTCGACGATCCCGACGACCCTAACGATCCGATGACACAAATCGATGGCGCCGACCGCACGACCTTGTCCCTGGGAGACTCAGAGGTAGCGGTACCTGGGTAGGGCGACTCGTCCCTTGTCACAAGACGTCGTCCTCCGTAACCTGGAGGTGATTTCGTGTCCATGTTCAGGCGGGCTTCGATGTGGTCCAGGCCCACGGCAGTATCCTACTTCACAACAAGTCGTGGATCACTCATCGGCAAACAGCCAGCGTCCACCCTTGATCGCCTCTTGATACCGCCTTCCGACCTCGTCCCTCTGCCTCTCCCGTGCTCGCTCCTGGTTCTCCTTTTGCTCTTGCGTGGATGGAATGTCCACGTCCCAAAATCCTGGGGGGGTAGATGGGGGCGCAAAATTTGCCCTGTGCATTCTCCCATACTCTTTGGCAAGTAAATTTGCTCGTGCCTCATGCACTAGATTTGCTCTTGTCAGAGGTGTTAGAGAGCGTATTTTTTCCGCTGACTCAGGCCCCAGAAATCCACGCAACAGGTCGTCTTCCGAGACGTTCGGATCAAGGGGCAGCGTCTCCGCCAAAACTCTGAACGTGGCACTACAACACCCCGGCCGCGTGCAGTTGGGCAGACACTTCCTTGCTTCCTTGTTACGGACAACATCTTGGAATGCATAATCAAGACCTTCTGCGTATTTTGGGTTGACTTTGAAGTGGGAAAGATCAAGCTGAAGGACAGGCCGGGAACGGAGTGGCCCACTCTTCTCGGATGCCTTTTTGGTGACAGGTGCTTTCCTGGCGGAAGCGGGATGAGGTGGTACAACGGGAGTGGGCGTGGATGTTGTCAGCAATGCATCCAAGCGCTTTCTGGGCAGACTCGGTGTATGGACACGCTTTTTTGGTGGATCCTCTATGTCATCTCGATTGTAATCAATGCCATCTTCCGCAAGAGACGAGATCGCTTCCGCCCCTCGCTCGTGCAATCCCTTGGGTTTGGACGTTCGGGAGACACGACTTCCTGAAGACACATTGGTCCCGATCCCCTGCAGTGGCTCTATCTTCTCAGGACTGTTGGCTCTTTGTCGCTTTCGACTGGGATTTCTGGGGGCTTGCTCATCGCCCGGCACAATGGGAGACGAAAGATGTGGGTTCCGTGAGCGGCGTCTTCTTTCCTTGCGGAGCTGCTTCTTCAAGCTGTCAATCTCTGCTTGCTTCTCTGCGTCTTTACGGAATAGATGGTCCAGCTGGACTGCAAGCTCTGGAGCATCCTTTTGCTTCTCGGTATGGGCCTGACGCAAGTCCTGGACCTCATGCTTGAGCTTGTCGTTTTCGCGTTCGAGTCGTTCAATAGTTTGATTGCTGGCTTCGAGTTGCCGTTGAAGGGCTTCGCTCTGCGTGAGTGCCCGAGTCAGGATCGACGTAAGCGTAGACATGGCAGAATTCTGTGAACGACTGTTGTAGTCAGTGTCTGAAATGAGGGCACGCCAGGTCTAAGATGTTATATCTGTAGCTCGACTACCAAAAAGATGTGCACGGCCTGGCCCCAATACAGTACACTTTACTCAAAGCAGTAGGATCCAAAGCTGTTCTCGAATAACCCACGTCCCGGTGTGATGAAACACCCTCCGTTGTGCAAAAACCATCAGGTACCTCGAATGGAACCGCCTTTATTTCGCCGCCACCAGGGATTGTCAATCAGATAAATAGATTTTAGCATTTCGGAGTCAACTAAGTATCGTGTTGTCGGGTGTTTGCACATAAATACCTAGATTTGATATCTTGATACCATGATTTCACCAACCGCTTAAAATGGACAGAAAATCCATATCTTCGACTCACAGTATTTGTTTGCATGTCAGCTGCATTTACGACACTCTAAATATAGGGCGGCATCACGATATCACGTTCGACCGATTATGATACTATTATCTGTATTTTTTCGTGATCTGTGCTGCCTTTTCGTGCGCCAAAGGTCCCGGGCGGGTACTTCTGCGACGGGGTTCAGACCCTCCAATACGATCACGTGAGTTTTTATGTGGATTTGAGTATCGCCATTACAAGACCGAAAATACAGATGTCTTGGAATGTAGCACGTGATTATCTGGACACGATACTGTAGCGAGTATCGGACACTTCACGTGGACCATCGCCCGCCTACGACCCTCTCCCTTCCGGATCCGTGCAGATGACGACGGTAATGGTTTCCGGTCAAAAACTGGTTTTTCTCTATTGGACGTGGCTTTACAAAACCGAACAGGTCAGGAGGAGCGGTGGATTTTACAGCCGTTTGCAAAACTAGTTTCACCTTTAACGGATATTGTCACGGGTTGAAGACAGGTATTGACCAGCCAGTGTATTCTCTACGTACAGTTTTTCAACAGGCACAGGAAGCTTGCTGATTAGGCTACATAGGGTGATTGACAAGATGTAGCTCAAAGAGCCACGACACAGAATGCAGGACGCACGACACATGGATCAGTACTCGCAGTAGGACTCTCACGCTGTTCTGATCCAGACCCGTACAATAACAGCTTGAGCGTTTGTGTACCGTAAGCAGAAATGCATCATTAAGTGCAAGATAGCACGACGGATCTCAATCGTCGCAAGTAATCGTTGGCTGGTTTTGGTGACCATGACGTCTGAGTTCCAACTCTAGCTTGCGACACGCTCCTGGTTCCATCTCGCGGTAGTCGTCATACAATAAAGTTCCATTCTGTTTGAAATTCCAAATCAGCTTCAAGACGGCAGAACTGCTGTAACTGAAAGGCCCTTCACAGACCTTAGAGCGCCAAGTAACACGTTTGTGGCCCTCAGGAATTTTAGGCCACACCACGGATGGTAAAACGGAGCTTGGAGCCTGGCGAAAGTCAGGCATTACAAGGGAGTAAATAAGTGATCTTGGTGATGTTATGATTGACAGGAAGGCGGGATGCTTTACAGTACGTGAGTTAGAAAGGATGATCCTTGCAAGTTTTGAGAGATACTGTACTGTAAAGTAGCACCAAGGTGTAACGGGATTTGGCCACGAATTAGGCTCCCGCCAAGACATCGTCCATGCTTAATGTTGCACTTCTCCCTTCAAACTCTCAAAGTTTCTCAACCCTCAAAGTTTCTCAACCCTCAAAGTTTCTCAACTCTCAAAGTAATGCCGTCCCTTGAAAATTTGCAAGAGAAGTGGGATGAACACGTTAGAAACGGGGAGCTTGGGCCTGCATTTCAACCACTGGCTCTCAAATTGGTGAGAAGATATGAGGAGCGGGAGATGTACGACCAGAGAAAAACCATTCTTGAAACCATAGTTGGAAGTGCCAACCAAATCTATAGGCCTGGCATCTTGCCTTGGGCTGCTCTACTCCTACATGAATACGAAAGGCTTGGAGCTACAGAAAAGAAGGAAGACCTTGACAATCGGGTCAAAGGCTATACTCAGCAACCTGGCCAGCTCCCTGATGCCACGCAGCGCTGGCAATCATTGTGCCCTGCCAGCTCCAGTGACCTCTACCACCGTATCGACAATCTTCTAAAGCCACGAGAAAGTCCACAAGTCCGGCTGGAATACCTATTGTCTGAACGGGAAGGACCTCGGGTGTTCCTAGGTGTTTGAAAAGCTTCACAGCCGGGTCAACGGAACCAACGGAACCAAAGACGTTACCAAACCTATAAATGTCGTTGTTACAACACTCTATCAATGGTGTTACCTCTCCGAACGCTGAATCTTGGGTAGTTTCACGTGGGTTTCATTTCGGCAGATGCGACTGAACGTCTCCTACTCTTTCCTACCTCATTCAGAGGCTTTACAGTGGGAACTATCTACTTCATTTATTGTGGTATAGAATCAATATGCAAGAGGGCCGCTCGCCTTGAGAAGTCTTTATGAAGACAAGACAAGAAGACTAGCAGCCACTGAGCGGAAGTCGAACATCTTAAGTCTCGAATTTGCGAATATCCATGAGTATATGATTCAGGACTTTAATGCTGCAATTAAACAGGTGAAGGTCAGCGTAATGGCGAGATCTTGTCCCTTCACGATCAACGTCTTAGAGGAAGAAAGGACGCTTCCCCAATCACACTAGAAGTCTGGAATGTTTTACAGTAGAAGCTACTCTTAGTGAATAATCTATGGACGAAGACTTGAAAATCAAAGTATTCTTAGACCGCAAAGTAAGTAAGATCCTGGTCTTCGAGACGAGACATACGCGTGCAAAAGTTGACGAGCTAGGCCGCAATTCCTTCCTTTTTGTGTGTCGGAGAAATCGGAAGCTTGCCCAAGCGGCCGCAGATACTGTACATAGGCCTTGAAGGCACATCCGAACTACACTAATAGACCCTAGAGGAGCGGTCAACGTATAATCTAGAGAACTAAGGCTGGTGGTGAACTGAACTCATGTGTGTTTGCGACAAAAGCTTCGCTTCCGGCCGCATCACGGCATAGTCGCCTTGTAACTTACTGCTCTCGTACTGAGAACACCGCCTCGGGATTTTGCTAGAAGTCAGTGAAATGTCCCAGCTTCACCCTTTATTGTGGAGATGGAAGATTGCTGAGGTGGACGAAGACTCGGCGGAGACGTTATAGGTCCAGCTCGGCGGCAGCGTGCGAGTTGGCCAACATATCCGACCAATTGCTCCCTCGTTAAAATGTGGGCAACTCAGAGCCGTTAGGCGTGAGGGTGGTATGTTGTCACTCGCGTTTTAATGTCTCTTCCTCGCCTTCTCGATCCTCGCGGTCTCAACAAATCAACGGTCAGGCGTCAGCCGTCAAAGTCAGATTCGGGACACTTTGGACCGCGATAGCGCGCCCACGGATCAGTGGCCACGCCTTCCCCCTTTGCTGCAGCGCGAGACGAGCCAGGTGTCTCTCGCAATTGACTTGCTGTTCGGCATCGCCTTCCATTGGATCAAGCAGCAGATCCGTTCCTAAGAATCGTTGTTGTATTCGTTTCACCCCAAGTCCGCCTCTTGCAAACCCTTCAGCTTGTCTTGGTGTGGATGTGGCCCGCTGGGTCCCCGGGGAGAAGGGGGCATGTTTCAGAAAAGGATTGTTACAGCTGTTCTGGAATTGGTGACCGTAGTTCGCGGTTGCGATGCTATTTGAATAAGCCATTCCATCCTGCGCTGCTGCTGAATACAGCATGGTCACAACTCTCCTCCAACAGGTATTGAGTCGACTAGTCGTGTTGGGTTGTTTCACCGTCAATTTCCAGAATATTCCACAGCGTTCAGTCCAAAGGAGTTCCCTTTACCCCGTCTTCCACCAGACGTCTTGCCGCAACCCGCCGCGACATTGTCATGTGCAAGCATGTATGTACAGTATAGCAGCTGCGCGTATTACAAGTTATTCCTCTTTTTCATCCTTTGTATACCCCAAGCTCAATCGAAGCCGACGACAGCAGGAAAGGTAAAATACAGACACCATGCATCCGTCGTCTCCGCTGGAGGCAATACGCGTTCGGTGTTGATCGCGAGGTAAGTTCGGTAGAATGCTGACGCGGTAGGCAGGATGAAGGGAAAGAATATCGTGTAGCGAGCGCGCTGTCATATCTCGACATTAGCAATCGAGCAGTCTCCAGTCTTTGTACATATAAGAAGGGGAGAATGCCTTCGCTTTGCCCGAATATCTCTTCGGAGATTCTAAAAGAGACCCGCCGGATCATGGCGTTTTCGAGTTTCGCAGAAGGAGAGGTGTGGAAAGGCATGTCTCCTAAAATCTGCTGGTGGAATCTGTCGAAACAATGACTAGCAGAAAACTGAAGTGGTCTTGGCGGGCGCCTTTGCCGCGCGGCGCAGAGACGACCATTAAGGACGAGTGAAGCATGGAGAGGACGTGCTCGATAGGTGTGTGTTGAATTTGAATTCAAAGCACCTTTGACCTGCTCCGTTAGCGTACGCCTCGCCTCGCCTAAAAGGATGCCGCGTAGAATTTGAATTCCTCGTAATTTCGCAGACTGAAAAACTCTTCGAGGCGACCGTACTGCGGGGCCTTTTTGTGCTACGATTTGCAACTCGCTGTCGTTGCCCAATGCGTGTTTCGTTAGGGCGAGGGCTCTGAGAGTGTCTTCGAGGTTATGCGCATTTCCTTGGTGCTGCCAATAATCACATGACTCTATCATGTATTGCAAACGCGAGATTATTGGCGCGCTTTTCCTGCCTAGCGCGAACAGCCTGGAACCCGTCTTGCTGCGCAGCTGCGCTCAGCGATGGCCATCCTTTCGGTCCCAAAAGCTTTCTCGAAGGTTTCCGATTTATTACACACACGAAGACTGCCTACTGAAACACCTGACGGTGCACGCACAAAACGTATCGAGGTTGAAGACACGAAAGATTATTTTATGAAGAAGCCACAAAGAATCCCTAAACTATTGGAAAAGAAAACATCATCGCTCCGGTACTGTGCCTATGGCCCGGGTACAGCACTTGAAATTTGCACGGGAGCTCGTAAAAAGCTTAGCGTTCTTCCTCGATTTTGAAACAGGGCTCAATGGAAAGCTGTTCCAGCCCTCTTGCAACACTTGATGTTGCTCTGATCGTGCGCAGGACAGGCTCCTTCATGACGATTTCGAC